AAACCCTCAGCCCTAAACCCTAAAACACGCTGATGCTGTCCTGCGAAGGCAAGCAGAAAGCAATCAAGCCTCCTTTGCAGGGAGTTTGGTTGGGGTGGTTGGGGCGGGACTACATGCTGACGCAAGGGCGCGATAAAGAAGCGCACCCACCGGTCGCACATTGCATGCGCACCCTAAGCCCTAAGCCCTAAACCCTCCAACAAAAACAGTAAATTAAACTGAAAAGAAAAGCAGGTTTATGCCCTGGCCACCGGCCTCCACGACAGGCTCGTAGCGCGGAAGGCCTGCTCTGCGTTTCGTAGGGCTGGAGTTGAAAAGGAGATTTTTTGGGAGTTTAGGGTTTAGGGCTTAAGGTGTTTACAATTCTGATTCATGTTTAGAGGCCTCCAGAAGGGTGTTTAGGGCCGCTGAGACTTGGGCTTGGGCTTAAGCCTCAGGGCTTTCAACGTTAAGGGGCACCATAAACCAGAGACCAGAGAACCCTAAGCCCTAAACCAGAAACCCAGAACCCTGAACCCGGAGCCCTGGGGTTGAAGGATAGTGATTTAGGGGTTTAGGGTTGAAGGGGTTTAGGTTTTAGGGTTTAAGGTTAGTGAGTTTCGGGTTCACAGTTAGTTTTTAGGGTTCAGAGTGTATCGAATTGTAAGGTTGGTTGTAGAGTGTAGGGTTCGGGCATCCGGATAATCACGCTTTGATCGGGTTTCCCTGTGAGTTGGTCAAGTTGGAACGCGAACTTTCTCGTTTTTTGCTCTACAGGGTGTTTGCAGAGCTTTGAAGCGAATTATAAGGGTTTCACATAGTAATCGAGGTTTCATGGAAGATCTTTCGTTCGAGGCAGCTGCACAGCTTGCACCGCCACGGAATGCCAGCGCATGGCACTTGCACTCCAAACGTAAACCCTGAATCTCGAACGCAGGTAATCGCTGCGGATTGCCGGAAGCCAAGCTGGCAAGTCGGGCGCATCTCAATCATGTAAACTGCCAGCTTGCATGACATTGGACCCTAACCTCCCTCAACCCATTGTCCTCAAAAGCTTTATGCTTTATGCGGCATTGGGCTAAGAACCATCCTACAAGCCCTATAGCGAATGCCCCAGTCCCCGGATTGACCTGAGGCCAAGTGGTCGGGCCAGCCCAGACAGCAAAGGCCGTGTTCATGCATGGAGCCCTAAACCCTAAACCGTAAAACCCGAAACCCTAAAACCGCAAGCCCTGAACCCTAAACGCTGAACCCTAAAACCCTAAACCCTAAAACCCTAAACCCTAAAACCCTAAGACCCTAAAACTCTAAACCCCAAAACCCAAAACCCTAAAACCTAAACCCTAAAACCCTAAAGCCCTAAGCCCTAAACCCTAAAACGCTAAACCCTAAAACCCTAGACCCTATTTCATATACTTAACCCGACTTAGGATTCCCTGATCCCCAAAACTTGAAACCCAGAACCCAAAAGTCCGAAACGTACAGTAACTCTTGCAGCGGGCTAGGGTTTTTGGGTTCAGGGTTTAGGGTTTAGGGATGATTTCAGCCTTTGCCGTATCCCTCTGCGGAAGGATGTCTTAGAGGAGCGTTCCCTGATCCCTGAACCCTACAACCCGCAGGCACCAGATGCGCTGAATACCAACGCACAGCCTGCGGAGAAGGCATCGCGCTGTCGCCTAAACCAGCCCCTAAACCCTGAGACCCCTGAATCCTAAACCCTAAACCCTAAAACCCTGAACCCTAACCCCTAAACCCTAAACGAACCCGGAGCCAGAGAGCCTCCAAATCCGAGTCCCAAAGCTCTGAACCTAGAAATTGCAAGCATTGTAGTTAGACCCTATAAATCCTAAATCCTCAACCCTACAGATCCTAAATCCTAAATCCTAAATCCTAAACCCTATAAATCCCAAGCCCTAAACCCTAAACCCTACAAATCCTAAACCCCAAAGCCCAAACTTAGCCCTGTGTCCCCGAGGAGGCCCAGATTCAGCCCAAGAGCGAGCAAGGCACGGATCTGAGTTTCTTCGTCCATTGATGTAGGGGCCTTAAGAGTAACCCTAAGGGTTTAGGGTTTAGGGTTTTAGGGTTTAGGGTTTTGGGGTTTAGGGTTTAGGGCTTACGGTTTTAGGGTTTAGGGCTTAGGGTTTAGGGCTAAACCCTAAAACCCCAAACCCTAGACCCTACGAGTAAGCCCCTAAACCCCCATAGTGTAGGGGCCTTAGTACTTAGCATAGGGTTTTTGGGCCCATTATACGATAATCATAATAAGGAACCCCCAAATAGTATTGGTAAGAAATTGGACCTCACATTACCTAAAGAAGGGAATAGGGTCATCTTAATTAGATAGGTATTATAAGGGGAGCTTATTACTTTGTCTTCGCCCTAACCCTAGAAGCCATAAACTCTTAACCTCTGTGCTAATGGTGCAACAGACATGTTTCGAGTACGACCAATTATCCATCAGCCATACATGCTTTAGTGCAAATACATGTGGAGATGCATACATAATACTTACATGCATAAATACATACAAACATAACTACCTGCACACATGCGCACCTACAAGCAAACAAACAGAGATACATACACGCTACACACGTACATACATACACACACGCGGACGCGCATAAGCCACTAGACAGGTAAGTGAGTAAAAGAGTATGAGTGAAGGAAATGAGGAAGGAAGCAGGCAAGCAAGCCGTCGAGCGAGCCAGCGAGCAAGCAAGCGAGTAAGTATGTTCGCAAGTACGTAAGTAATTATATATATGTATATATTCGTACTACCTAGGCATGCATGTATGTGCGTACGTACGAATGCACATATGCACATATGTATGCATGTACGTATGTACGTATGTACGTATGTACGTATGTAACAACGCATGTACGCATGTACGTATGTACGTATGTACGTATGTTTCTATGTACATATGTATGTATGTATGTATGTATGTATGTATGTATGTATGTATGTATGTATGTATGTAATTGTATGTATGCATGTATGTACGTATGTACGTAGTTGCGCATGTGTGTATACGTGTGTATACACATGTGTGTGTGTGCATGTGTGTATATGTGTATGTGATATGTATATGCATGTATGTATGTATGAATGTATGTATGTATGTATGTATGTATGTATGTATGTCCAGGACATGCGAGGTAAACTCGAGTGTGAACACAAAGGCATGTTGTAAACAAACAATCGTAATTGTATGTAGTTGTATGTGTAAACAAATGCGATGTCATGTGCGTAGTGGCATGCAACACTCTCACGCACTCTATCTTTCTAATCTCTAACCCAACCTAACCTTATCTGTTCTCATCTGGTTTATTCGAACCGAATCTAACTTGTACTTATCTATCTATTCACCTGTCTACCTACCTACCTACTTACCTACCTACCTCCTTACCTCTACCTACCAATAGCTAGCTAGCGAGTTTCCTACTTACCTATCTGCCTATCTACCTGTCTATCTGTCGACCTATCTATCTATCTATCTATCTATCTATCAAGCTATCTATCTACCTATCTACTTGTCATGCACCTATCTGCCCCTATGTCCATCTGCCTGCCTGTCTGCCTCCCTTCCTGTCTGCCTGTTTGTCTGTCTAGCTAGCTATCTAGCTATCTAAGTCTGTCTAGCTATCTAATTACACACACGCACATCATACACATACAATTCTTGCCTATGCCGTTGGCTGAAATTGGGGCAGCCTCTTGCTGAGGCCTCTTGGAAATTATGGCCGGACTGGTGCGAAAGCTGTGTTGCAAGTAAGCCCCTGTGTGGGGTTCAGTAGGGTTTTTAGGGGTTTTGTGGTTTAGTACTGCAAGGGTTTCCTATAAGCATGACTGGAAGCGCTCCATAAGAAGGTTTTCGGTTTTTCGATGATTTAGGGTTGGTTTAGGCTGACTTGTGGGTCCCTCCCGAAGTTTTATGCTGCTGCTTGCGGACATGAAATGTGCTGCATGCTCCGGCGGCAAATTTTCGGTGCGCCAGAACCGCACAAAATAGATGCGCTGGGCATGGTTTTTGGGTTGTATCCAGCTTTCAAAGCCCAAAAGGCAAGCGTAGTGTCGTAAACCCAGCGATAGCGCAATGACTCCTATAATCTCCGGGTGCGCATGATGGGTTTCTTAAAAATATCAAGAGCCAGCGACATACGGTTTAGGGTTGAGGGTTTAGGGGTTTAGGGTCTAGGATCCAGGCTCATACGGACATCAAGCCTTCTTAGCACTGGCACCGATTCGCTGGCACCTCGATGTTTTTCCTAGGCATGAGTGTTGTTGATACTTCTATAGCGCTCAAAACCCTAAACCCTAAAGCCTAAGCCCTAAACCCTAAATCCTAATCTCACATCTCGGCGGGGCGCGGAAGGAGCAGGAAGCTTTGGATGGGATGACCAGAGAGCAGCCTGAAGAACCAGTAGCATGATTCTTCAGAGATTCCGAGTTTCTTTATACGTATAGTTGTAGTAATTATAGTTCCCTGTAGTAATGATAGTTCCCGAATACGCATAGTTGTAGTACTTAGGGTATGTATGTTATAGCGGAATGTATCCCCCCAAAAGCCCGCCCTAAACCCTAAACCCTAAGCCCTAAACCCTAAACCCTAAACCGTATTCCAAGCCGAGAGGCCCTCTAATAGCTGCCATATGTTCTGAAACCTCCGATCTGCAAGTCATGAGGGCTCGAGGCCTTTACCCTAAACTCTAAGCCCCAACCCCGAATCCCCTAAACCCCTAACATAGGGGCCTAAATCCAATACTATTTTGGGGGGTTCCTTATTCTAATTATAGTATCATGGGCCCCAAAGCCCTATTCTAATTATTAAGGCCCCTATATTAACCCCTAGACCCCTAAACCCTAAACCCTAAAGTCAGTAGAAGCTTGGATCCATGGCCGTGGGATTCATGTAAGCGTGGCAGCCTCAGAGCAAGTCGTGCCTCTCCTTTGGTCTTCCGTGATTTGGGTGTAGGGGTTTAGGGTTCAGGGATTTAGGGCTTCGAGTTTAGGCTTTAGGGGTTTAGGGGTTTAGGCTTCAGGGTTCAGGGTTCAGGGGTTTAGGGGTTCAGAGGTTTAGGGGTTTAGGCTTTAGGGTTTAGGGTTTAGTGAGGGGTTCAGCGTATTGGTGTACGCTGGGATCGGAAGCGTGCTGCTCAACATGGCTCTACAGATTACAGGTCGAATGATCGCGCTGTAACAAACGCCATGGCAATCCCTAAACCTTGAACGAACTTCGCCATGCGGTCATGCCACCAGCATTCTGTGAGCGCATACTTCCTGGGTCGACTCTACTACAGACAATATATAAGTCTAGATCCTAGTAGGGCTTAGCATAAACCCTAAGCCCAAGGCCCTATAAACCCTCAGCCCAAGGCCCATAAAACCCCCAAGTTCTGCCTACTGATGCCCCTGATTGCTAAACCCTAGATGCTGCAAGGATGTCGAAGGCTAGTGGCCGCAGCAACACCGTTGTGCTGAGGCCGCTTGCATGAGATGTTTAGAGTTTGGGTTTAGGGTTTAGGGTTGACTGTAAGGGCCTGTACAGGGTTCTACAATGCTTCTGCACGGTTTAGGCTGGTGGTTTGAGGGTCCAGGGTTTGAGGCTTGGTGTTGAGGGGTTTAGTATTTAGTGTAGGGGCCTTAATATTTACCTATATTATTTTTTGGGGTTCCTTATTATAGGTATAGTATAACATACCCCGAAACCCTATTCTAATTATTAAGGCCCTTGGGGTTTGGAGCACTGACCATCTCCGGACCAAAGCCCATAAACTCTTAATCCTCACCGACTTCGGGCGACCCTATCCCTTAACCCTAGACCCTACCCCCTAAACACAAGCCCTCAACCCCAAAGCCTGAACCCCACACCCGAAAGGGTGGAGGATTTGAGCTTCCCGCCCGGGCAAGCGAAGACGGCTCTCCGGAATATTTTACTAGCATCCCCGTCTAACAGCCCGTCTGCGCTTCCGGTATAAAAGCTACCAAAATCCTAGTCGGATTGCTAAAGGCCCTGGTGTTGAACACGCAACCTAAGCCTCAACCGGAAACCTAGACCCTAAAACCTACCTGTATCCCCAAACCCTACGAAATAATAGGTTATGACCCCTTAGTTAGAGGGTCGAGCCCTTAAAACCCTAAACCCTAAACCCTTAGGTAAGACGGTAGGTTTTCCCAGGTAAAGCCTAGAAACCCAGGGCGCTCGGGGCCATCAACCGCCAACCCCTCTAGTTATGAGTGTTCAGGGTTTGGGGGTTAGACGGTTTAGGGTTTAGGGTTTAGGGTTTCGGGTTAGGGAGCCCCAAACCACGGATCCCTAGACCCTAAAATATAGGAGCCTTAAGAATTGCCTATACTATCGTGGGGGGTTCCTTATTCTAATTATAGTATAGCGAATGGGCCCAAACCCCCATTCTTCCTTTTTTCGGGCCTCAGATTGGACCCTAGACCCTAAACCAGTGAAGCGGGTGGGGAAGGGGATAAATGTCCTGGATGAGGTTCAGTGCCCGAGAGTTTCATCTACAGGCAGACTCGGCTAGCCCAGCCCTAAATCTCTATACCAAACAGCCAACCCCTCAATCTTGCTCTAAAGGCCTGAATACCCCTCAGTTGAGGAATGTACCTGAAAGTCATACTGTCAAGCCCACTCTGAGCCGTAAACCTAAACTCTAAACCCTAAAACCCTGAACCCTAAACCGTGGCTCTGTGGGGTTTGCAGGCCCGGTGACGCCGGTGCAGCACGCATTTATGCAGTTCATGGTCTGGAGCCCAAAGGGCTTCGGTTTAAGGTTGAGGGCTTCGGGTTTAGGGCTTAGGGTTTAGGGGTTAGGGTTTAGTGGTTTAGGGCTTCGGGTTTAGGGGTTTAGGTGGTTAGGGTTTAGGGCTTCGGGTTTGTGAGGGGTCGGGGTTGGGTTGGGCCTATTATCATGAGGGCTAGTTTTGTAGGAACCTGATTAGGAAACCTGGCTCTAACGCTCCAAAAAATTAGGACCCATTTGCCGAACCCTACTGAAAGGCCCAGGAATCGAAATCAGGTTTCCATACTACCAGGGGCTGCTATGACCCTAAACCCTAAGCCCTAAACCCTAAGCCCTAAACCCCTAAACCCTAAATCCGAAGCCCTAATCTCAGTATGGTAAGGGCTGCTATACGGGGTTACTCTAGGGTTTTCTGAGTCGGCGACCAATTGGAAAAGGGTTTAGGGTGAAGATCATAATCGTTACAAAGTGTATAGCTTCCATAATTTGGATCAGCCTGTGCTTCTTGCCAAAGTTCTGTAGGCAACAAGACCTTGAGTTGTTCCTACATCCTAAACTTCCTAAACCCCTAACCCTCAACCCCGGTCCTTAAACCCTAAACCCTGAAGTCCCGGTCCACAAGCCCTGGGCCGTGAATCCCCGAAAGCCTAGATCCTAAACCCTAAACCCTCGGCCCTTAACCCCAAACCAAAAGAGCCATAATATGGCACTGTTCGGGTATTCGGGCTCCCCAGGGGATGATAGAACCAGACCTCGCTGCCCGCACCCAAAGTAAGCCGTGCAGGGTTTAGGGGTTAGGGTTTAGGGTTATGAAATTCTTTTGGCTACAGCAGGGGGTTCAACATTACCAGTATAAATGCACCCAACATGTGTTGACAAAATGCACCTAACTAGGTG